GAGAGAACGAGAAGGAGTCCTGAGTGTTTGGGAGTCTAGGAGATTGAGACCGGGAGAGAGCGATCCTGGAGGACCTCGCTGATCAGGGCCACGGCATGTCTTATTTACGCACGCACACACACACACACACACACACACACCAAAACATCTCTTATTTACTGGCTTACGTCTGCACTATTTATGGGGCACCGGGGAGATGCACAGAAGAGAGGAAGAGAGGAGAGGGGCTAAAATATGCATAGGGGCTGGTTCTTCTGGGACAGACGGGGGGGGGGGGAGTTGGAAAGGGGGAGCAAGAAAGAAAGAGGGGAAAAGCGGGGAGACCGGAGGAAAGGGAGTGAAAGTTCCATTGTGCACGTTGTGCAAAAAGTGGACAGAAAGGTGAAAACAAGAAAAAGCAAAGGTGTTTTCTCTGCCGAAGAAGGAGAGAGGAGGATGCACTTGGTTGTGTGTGTGTTTGGGGGAGAGACAGAGAGGGAGACAGAGAGGGAGACAGAGAGGGAGACAGAGAGGGAGACAGAGAGGGAGCTTGACATCATACAGCCCCTCCGAGAGGTTGAAAGAGGCCAAAGCCGTTTTCTCGTGTTCCTCATCTATCGGTACCTCATTAAAACACACACAAATTACCCCATTCCACTTTCTCTGCCACACGCACACACACGCACACACACGCACACACACACACACACACACACACAGCAGCTAGCAGTGGTATTAACTCTCAGAGGCTGCAGCTCTCCATCTCCCCAAGTCAGCCGTTGTGTTTAGCCCACTTAGAGAGCCCTCCCACAGGGGGCAATGTAGCTGTGGCAGGTCGGGCTCGGGCTGGAAGTTTTCACACGCGCACACACACACACGCGCAGACACACACACACACGCACACAGACAGACAGACACACTTGGGCCACGACCAGAGTGTAACGAGATGGATATAGCCAGAGCGGAAGCAGCCAAAGAGGAAGAAGTACAAGGAGCTGGGGGGAGAAAACTCACCCGACCCGACCAGAGCGGCCGAGTTCACGCGTGGGGAGAAAAAAAAAAACCCCGCCAGCGTTTTCAAACGCCGTGACGGGCTGCAGGTTGAGAGGACGCGGGGGGCGAAACGGTGCTCTGCATCGACCGTCGGGTCTACAAACAAACAAACGAGAGAACTTCTCTTCTTTCTTTCTTTTACTTAACTTTCCTTTCTATAAGAGTTATCAGCATTGCTGTTAATATATTGTGACGTTATAATCTAAAGAGGCACAAACAGACCAAACAGATACTCAGCTGCGTCTTTTATATCAAAGGTAACAGATTTATATTATATTGCTGATTATAATCCATCAGTCCATGAAGATGTTGTGACCTGGTGAGACCACAGGAGAGGAGTCATCTGGGTGTGTGTGTGTGTGTGTGTGTGTGTGTGTTTGTGTGCAGACGTTGACCCACAGGATCCAGCAGTCACCCTGCTGTTAAATGGACTGGCGGCCATATGCCCACCACCTCCAGCTCTACATCACTGCCACTCGCCACAGTGTGGTTTTTTTTTTTTTTTATTCAAATATTCCCGACTTCATTTTCTGCTGCTGTCTTTTTTCTAAATCTCCTCCACACTGACTTGTTGTCTCTGCACGATTCATGCGGCACTGATATTTCCCGGCTGCTTTGGCAGGAAAAACCTTCACGTTTGTAATGAATGAAACTTTCATTCCCGTTCCCGTACTTCCAGAACAACTAGCACCTCTGGTTCCTGCAGCAGGCAGGAGGCCCCGAGGGACGGTTGGCGGATTCGACTTTTAACAACGGTTTGACCTGCGGGCTTTTACGGGTCGCCGGTCCGCTGCCAAAAGAACGCGCGAGACCGGGAAGAGAAGAAGAAATGAAGAAAAGAAAAATGACGGACAGTAGCTGGGAGGTACGGAGGGACGGATAAGGGTTTGGATTATTAACCACACAGCCTACTTACTCAGTACACACACACACACACACACACAGACACACACACACACACAGTCAGCCTACCTGTAGTTCCGTCTGAAAGAAGAACTTCTGCGGACACTGGGAGCAGTCGTAGATCTTGTCTTCCTGGCCGTGGACGGCAAAAATGTGCTGCTGGAGCTTGTTGGCCTGCACAAACACTGGAAGAGACACACACACACACACACACACGGCGACGCGTTACGCAGGGTTCGTCTGCCGGCGCATTTGCTTGTCGTTGATCTTTGATCGGCTGAATCCGGCGCAAATAAAACGCGCACCGGCCGAACGTCTGCGCGGAAAAGGAGCGAGAGCAGGAGCAAGAAGCAGGGAGGCCTGCAGGAGCCTCAGCAGACCTTGTGATGTTTATCAATAAATTATCCCCCCTTTTTTAACCTCCGCTTCACTGTTGCCGCTTTCATTTTTTCCCCTCTTTCTGCCCCCCCCTCCCCTTTGTTTCAGTAAACTTTCAGTTTGTGCATGTGTTGCATTATTAAGCCTCCCCGTAGGAGCGGCGCCCGTCTTACTAATTCATAAGCCGCCGAGGAATAGAGTTAAAGTTTAGAGCGTCGCTGCGTACCTGGGGGAGGGGGAGGCACACAACACAAGACAAACCCAACAACTGAGGTGGTTTTTGCAAAAACCTTTCTTTCCAACTTGCAACAATGAACTCACACGGTGCATTTTTTTTTAAAGACGCTTTGCTGCTTTGGCGGTAGTTTGCAGTTTAACAGGCAAAACACCTTCGGCTTCGCATCAATCTGTGGTTTTATTAGTGTCGCTTTCTCGCGGTGTAGTAAAGCGTGCGTCCCTGCTGTGTGGATCGCGAACCCGTGTGCGCGACAAACTGGTTGCCGCGCTGTGTCTCCGTGGCCGTATTGAAACGCAAGTGAGCTTCCTGTGCCGCTGTCCTTGACGGCGAAAGGGGTTGTGCGTGTGTGTGTGTGTGTGTGCGTTCGCTCACCTGTGAAGCAGACGGGACACTTGAAGGTACCTCCCATGCCTTCGAAGCTGTGCTCTATCAGGTGGCAAAGCAGCTTGGCGGGTGAGTCAAACATCTGGTTGCACAGCTTGCATTCGTGATTGATGCCCTCCTCTGCAGACGGGAGACAGAAACGCATGTGTGGGCCGGGTCAGGGGGGGGGGGGACACACGGAAACAGCAACACGTGACAACATTTTAGCGTAGGAATGCTGCAGAAACGGTCATGACTGACAGCAATAAACTGGAATATCAATGGAAAGGATGCAACTCATCGTTGCGAACTAACTCGCGGCATGCCGTCCTTTTGTTTTTCCCCGTCACCCCCCCCCAACCCATTCCTCCCTCCGTGTCCCCTTAACGTCCCTCTTGGTCCGTCACTTGGTGATTTATTTGCGTGGACTCCGCTTCGAGCCCCCTCACCCCCGTGTTCCCTCGCTCAAACCCAAACCGAGCTCACGCCCCCCCCCCCCCCCCCGAATGTCGCCCACCTCGTCTCTCTCCGGCCACTGTGACCATCCGTCATTTAAGGTGGACACGCCTCCCATCTCCTCTCATTCAGGGGGGAGTCAATGCACTTCAGGTGCACCTTTGTCACAAACACGCATCGAGTCCGTCCCCCGAGCCCCCATCGCTCTCCTCACTTACATTATACCAACGCGTCTATTTTAAGAAGGTGTCATTGAAATCACAGCTCCCAACTGTGAGAGACCCGATGAAAAGTTGGCGTCATAAATGCACACACACGCACACACACACACACACACACACACCCCGTGATGATCAGGTCCCCTGCTAGTTTCCCTTATCACTGTTGTACCATGTGCACCATGCAGGACCAATACCCCAATCCAATCACACACACACACACACACACACACACACACACAGATGCCCGCCACAGGACTGTAGAGCCTGGAGACATCAGATGGTGTCTTCACACACACACACACACACAAACACACACATTCTGTAATATTTCAGCTGCAGAGCTGCAGGGCATCGTGGGGTTAATAACGTCTTCAATCATACATCCATGACACCCATACTGACACACACACACACACACAGATTCCTATCTCTCATTGCCTCAAAGGCCGACACAAGGGTGCCCTAATCCCGTCTCAAAAGCTGTGGGGCAGTGTGTGTGTGTGTGTGTGTGTCTGTGTGTGTGTGGCTGCATGCTGGGTGCCACATGGGTTGATTTGCTCCACGGTCCCATCCCAAAACATGCCCTGTCCACACACACACATGCACACACACACACACACACACACACACAGACACGCACACAAACCTCAAAGGCTGCTGGGTTGTGTGGGGCGCCACTGTGTCCGGGGACACACTGAGACAGATAGAGGTTCATTATCATTTACTAGGAGATTGAAACAGCAGGGGAGGGTCACATGGAGTGAGACACACACAGAGAAAGAGGGAGGGATGGGGAGAGAGAGAGGAGGGGGGGAGAGAGAGGGGAGGGGGGGGGGGTGCAGCACTAACGGGTTACTTAATTGTCAGGTTTCACGTTCTAATGGTCGTGCAAGCGTTCCTCGTCTTAGCAAAAGTGGACTTTTATTTTACACACAGCAGAAGCTCGAGACCGATGGGAAAAAAAAGACACCGACGGAGGGGCAACAAGAAAGTTTTGCCTCCGCGCTTCAGTGTTCGTGTATTTGTGCGTTCGTATATTTGTGTGTGCGTGCGTGCACGCCGGGGGGGGCGTCCCTGCAGAGGCACCTTTACAGGTCTTTGCCCAAGAAGCCGGACGATCGGAGGACGTGGTCAAAGATCGGAGAAGAACTGTTTCAGACGGAGACGTCCTGCATGGGGACACCTCGTCCTGCACGGGGACACCCTCGTCCTGCACGGGGACACCTCGTCCTGCACGGGGACGCGTAGAGGTGCGATCACGACTGGCTTCTTATCTCATCATGAGCTCACATACGTTTAATACAGATAATGGCTGAAGCACCTGTGGACACCTGGTTCCACTGCAGCGAGAGATGGGACAGAGCAAAAAGACAGAGACGGAGAATTGAAGGGAAAACAGAGAGAGATAATTGGGCTGTCCAGAGCCGGGGCGTGGGGAGAGGCCTCCAACGCCACGGTGTGTGTGTGTGTGTGTATCCCATGAAAGACTTCTCTTTTCTGACAAATACAACGTTTTGATCAGTGTGTGTGTGTGTGTGTGTGTGTGTGTGGGGGGAGAAAGGGGGGACGGCGGTCTATGCTGTTCCCCTTTGAGACCCAGTCCGTGTGTGCGAGAGACCCATAGCGAGATGACAGAGTCGCGGCGTCCTGCCGTTACGCTTTGTCTCACAGAGTGCATTTGATCCACCGCGCACACGC